TTGGAATGAAAATTTGAGATAGAAAATGCAGTGTGAAATGCATGTGAATGAGATTTTTCTTTTTTATGCAATTTTTATATGCGATGGAAGATGTAATGTAATGAACATGAGTGGAATTTTACCCTTTATTTATTATTATTATTTTATTTTTTGCAATTTTTTTTTTTTTTGACATGAGATGAAAAATGAAATTTAAAATGAACAAAATGGAGAATGTCACATGAGATGAACATGAAAATATATTTTGCAATGCATGAGATGGAAAATGCAATACAATGGACATACGTGAAATTTTCAAGACATATGGAAGATTAATGTGAAATGAATGGGATGGATATATGACATGTGAAACAATCATGAACTTTTTTTTTTTTTTTTTTATGCATGAGGTTGAAAGTGAAGATACAAAGTGCATGGAATGTATCTAACCTCAAAAATGATGTCTAAATGCAGAAGATGAATAACTAATCATACCTCAAATGTACGAAAACCTATCACGTGCAGAGACAAAGTTAGTGAAGAAAAATGCCCCTTGTGTCTTAGACACGGGATCCCTAACCTCACGGGTGGGATGCTAAGGGAAACATGTCTTAGGGTTGGTATCTCTCTAAGGCCACTACATGTTCTCCTAAAGGGCATTAGGCCTTCTCAACCATTTATCCTTTTGGAATCAACGGGAGACATTTCCAAAAGCTAATACACAGAATGATATTACATCATCAAGTGTCATATTAACCAATGGAAACAACCTAATGGGAACCGATCTTACTCCTCAAAGCGGGAAGCATTGTTCTTCCAAGCCAAATTCGTAAGGATTCCAGACTAGAGGTCGGGTTCACCTCCGACACGGACCTAATGCAAAATGAGAGTGAGTGTGTGTAAGGGGCATGACACTTCAATAACCTGCACAATGGCAACCACAGAAAAAGGCAACATATATCCCACAGTGAGCAAGTAAAGCAAACAAGCAAATAGAACATGTAAAGCATTCAACAAATATATCACCCACAAACAAACCTACTTACACAGAAGGAAGGGACTCACCTAGTACTCCCATGCCAAAGGCAAAAGGTTAGTAACACAAAGCAACCAACACTTAGCATGCAATAAGATATAAATAATCGCACAAAAGGGAAGAGACTCACTGAATACTCCATAGCCAAGTGTAAAAGGTGAGTATATCCACACACAAACAAGTAGGGATATAGGCATGATGCATGATGAATAAGCATGTTATATCAATGATGGATGAGCATGTGAGATGATATGATGCATGAACATGTAAGTAAGGTATGATGCATGTCAAGATTTAGCAATATAACTATTCAAAAACAAAACAACAGAAGCAAACACCAAAGCAACAAGCCAACAATCAACAAGCACATGCAACAAGGACAAGCAAAGACTCAGCAAGAAAAGAAAACCAAAAGTTGAAAAATTCCCCAAAGTTAAAGCATTAGCTCGACCCTCATAAACCCAGAATATGGAAACCAGAGATTCTGGGTTAGTCCCCAGTGGAGTCGCCAAACTGTTGACGACCACTTAAGATTTTCAAAATAAATGAAAAATTAAGTGTGAAGAATATAAAAAAAGAGGGAGTCGCCACTCGTCCAAATTATAAGGTGGGACAAGTCACCTAAATCGAGTCTGCATAGAGATCAAGGTTCGGGGGTTCGGTTAGGAGTGAGGAAGGGCATGCGCGCACCTCACAATCCTCCGTTTAAACACGGTTGCATACTTTAACATTGGGGTTTGATTCAACTTATTCATTATGTTTATGTTTCAGTCTTAATAGGCAAGCTTGAAAAGGGATAAATCAAATTGAAATATTTTTTGAATTTTTAGACTAAAAATGGACAAAATCAAAGACAAGCATGCATCATAAGCACAAATAGCATTAAAGGGATTAATTTGATTAAATTTGAAAACATGAAGGACTGATTTGAAAAGATTTGAAACTTTAGAACTAAATTGCTTAATCATAAAACTTGTGGATGAAATTGAAATAAAATAAAAGATAACTTTGACTTTGTCCAAGATTAAAGTTAATTGAAAATTGAAATTAATTAATTGAGATAATTAGTCTAATTAAATAATTAACTTAACTTTAATTAAAATTAATTAAAATTAATTAATCACATTTACTCATCTTTAATTAAGATAATCAAATAAATCTAATTATCTCAAATTAAATTTTCATAAATATGATTAATTTATTTTGATTAAAATTAATTAACTTC